TTTCAAAGTTATTTAATGCTCCAAACGTCTGAAACTCAGATAATGTGTATTCATGGAACTGCTCCCAATTTGAACTTTGACCTTAGGAGTAAGTATAATCTAAGCATATTTTAGCCATTCATTTTATGTTGGGTGCCGGGCATTGCCATACACAGGTTGTTCCCAGGTTTATATAATAACTTTCTCTTGCTGAATTGAAGATCAGTTGTATGTTTAGGTTTACTTCTGTAAAGGCAGTGGTCCTCTGGTCTGCTGTAAAGTGTTCTAGTCATGAAAATTTTTAAAGTTTAAAATTAAATTGAAGTTAAACCACTAACAGAAATGGTTTATAATTTACTACTGTAGAAAACTTTTAACATTTAGTTTGGTTATTAGAGTTCATATTTTAGTAATTGACTCTGAAGAGAACTTGTTAGATGAAATAAGTGATTTTAGAAGCTATGTTCTAGCCACACAGGTTATATAGTAGTATGTGGCTTTGGGAGGTGAAATAAAAGAGACATATATCTAAGTTAGAGTTGAAAAACAACTTAAGATTTTTTGGTGACAGTTGAAAGGTTTGTCAATATGTAATTTATAAGTTTGAAATGTAAAACTTTTTAATACTATATTATCAATAATGGTAATAGAGAATAGGCTATGAAATATAATTTTGATATTTTCAAGTTTAGAAAACAGTTCTGTAAATTTGAATATATGATGGAGGTCATCTGTTAGCACCATGTCACATAACAGCATTGTAGACTTCCTCCCATTGCCTTTTTCAAAGCTTTAATTTGCTTTTTAAAAAGATTTTTTTTTTCAAATGAAAAGCAGGTAGATGTGAGTTCTGATTTTATCCATCTCCTGCCTCACATGAGGATTATAAATAAGATGAAGCAATTTAAAAGCTATAAATACTCATATAAAATTATAGTAGAATTTTCCCAGGATTAGGCTCCATAGATTTTTCCTAGGGTATTCCTGTCTGGCAGTGCCTTAGAATTGAAAGTATCCTGTGACAAGGCTTTTATGTGTTACTTTAGTAACTAAATTCTCTTGAGTAAGGATGGAAGATGAGTATTACTTGTGTTGAATTTTGCGTTATAACTAGAGTGCATTGTGACCATTTCTGCTTATGCATTTTTGAAGCTCTCAGGCAGCTCTTTATAGTCTTTAATGTGCATGTGAATTCTCTGGGGCTATGGTTAAAATACAGATTCTGATTCAGCAGGTCTGGGGAGGCCCTGAGAGTCTGCACTTGTGAAGTGTTCTCCAGGGATGCTGGCACTGCTTGGTCCTTGAACTAAACAGGATTCTAAGAGTCATACATCATTGGAACTCTACTGTTTGGCTTAAAAATCATGTCTTGCTCTTTCTCAACATCCTCCTCACCTCAAAAGAAAGTCTCATTATGTCTAGGTTTGTGCCTTTCAAAAATTGGCTGTTAATGGCCATGTCCTTTTCTTTTTTAAATAGCAAAACATCGAATTGCTCATAAACCTCACTCCAAACCAAAAACTTCAGATATTTTTGAAGCAGAATTTGCAAATGATCTAAAATCCAAGGATCTGCTTGCTGATAAGGAACTGTGGGATCGACTTGAAGAACTAGAGAGACAAGAAGAATTGCTGGGTGAAATTGATATTGATAGGTACCTAATGACAAATTTCCTTACACACATTTCCTTATAAAATATGTGCCCCTTGAATAAAATACAGAAAAGCACATTATACTAAAATATCAATAACCCTACCACTCTAAGGCAAATATTAATTCTCTAGAATATCTTCCTTTAGGTCAGTGTGTTCATGCACAGGCCCCATACATATGTGTGTAACAGAAATACTTAAAATCAATATACTTGTTTCTTATTATAAGATTTCAGCTATATTTTATATAATAAATTAAGATACCAAATATTTATAATTATGGATACTTTATAACATTTCAAATGAGTTATTTTTTTACTGTAGTTAAGATAATGTAGTATGTTTGAATGACTTGTTAAAAAGAAAAATAAGCATTCAGTTTAAGTTTGTGGCTATAAAGTGTTTATCCTTGCTTTCCTTTGCAAACTTTTTTGCTTATTGAGCAGGTAGTTTGTAATCTGGGCTTCCCTGGTGACTCAGTGGTAAAGAATCTGCCTGCAAAGCAGGAGATGCAGGTTTGATCCCTGGGTTGAGAAGATCCCCTGGAGAAGGAAATGGCAACTCACTCCAGTATTCTTGCTTGGAGAATCCCAGGGACAGGGGAGCCTGTGGGCTATAGTCCGTGAAGTTGCCAAAGAGTCTGACATAACTTAGCAACTAAACAACAACAAAATTTGTAATCTGGTCAAGTAGTTATAAGTATGAAAAACTTGACCCAGTTACCGTTTGAAATACACAGTGGCTCTTACTCAGAATTGTCAGAGTGCTTAGTGAAAGGTGTTAGTTACTATAGAAGTTGCTATATTATTTTACTTAAATGATATGCAGAGTTAGTTACTGTGAAAAATAAGACACAAAGAATATTTTTTTCACTACAATTTCACCTATACTTAGGTCTTTTTAATTAACTGATACTGTTTCATTTTTGTAAATCAGTTTTGAATCTTGTGATTTTCTTCCTTGTGATACTTTTTCAATTTTTGCATGATGTTTCCATTCTGTTGCATTTCTGGTTTTGTTATTTTTATAAGGTCCTCAAATTCTTTGTAGAATGAAGCATGGGAAATGTGTATGTATGTGTATAAATCATGTACATATGTAGAAGTCTTAGTTTAAAAATTATAACAATACATGCTTATAAAATATTTTGATTATGAAAATAGAAAATTAGAATATGTTACAATTCTGTGACTGTAATTTCTGGTGGTCTTCAAATAGAGATAACATTCTCTGTGAGTTTTGCGCTAATTTATGATTGTATTATTTTATTTTATATGACCAATATCTTCCTTGCAAAGATAAAAAAATATTCTACTTATGTTTGAATAGCTACAGTATAGAATTAGCATAGAAACCATTTTTTCATTCATTTCAAAACATTTTTATTAACCTAGAAATCTAGTTTAAAAATAATCTATTCAAAACCTTATTTTTTACCCATTGAACTTAACTGAAAAAATTCTAATGTATTTGTTTGACCTTGTTTTGTTTTTCTTTACTATTAGTAGTAAGCCTGATACTGTGATTGCAAATGGAGAAGATGTGTCCTCTGAAGAGGAAAAGGAAGATCAGAACATAAATGTGAATATGATGCATCAAGTAACAGACTCTCTCACCCTCAGCAATTGTTGTAACAGTCTTACAAATTCAGAACTCTTCAATGGTCAAGTGAATAGTCCATTGAACTATTCAGTGAATGGTTCAAATTCTTACCACAGTAATGAAGATGATAATGATGATGGTGGTGGTAATGAAAATGACCCTGATACCTTAGGGGTTGAAGATAATTCTATACCAACAATATATTTTTCTCACACTGTCGAACCTAAGAGGGTTTGTATACTTTTAACTTTACTAATTTTTTCATATGATTTGAATATTAATGATCATCTACAAAGCTCTTTAAAAGAACAGTAGTAACAGGGATTAATATTGTTGATAATACCAAACAAGAAAACCATCTTTTGCCTCTTGTTATGACCAGTTTTATCTGAAAGAGAAAAAGAAAAAAGTCTAGATAGTTAGCTGGTATTGGTCTGTTGTTCCCTTGAAGCCACAGTACAATTTGAAATTTGGTGGTCGGGAAGGAGATCAAATGAGTATTTGGGTATATTTATGATGAAAGTAACTGGCATTAGTTAAAATTTTAATTATATCAGGTTGTTTCTGTGTGAGCATATAATGAATAGGAGCATGACGAGCAGAAAGGAAAAATTTATCAGGAAATAAAAATTCGTTCCATTTCTCACAAAGTAAATATAAGCATCTCTGGGTATTCAGGACTTTTATAGAGTTTTGGTATTTTAGAGCTGGGGGTTACTAGAGCGAGAGCTTCTAATACAGCTTTTCTTAGTATCAAAAGACTTTTTGTTCCCTCTTTACTTATTGTAGAATCCCCAGTTTTTAAATCCCAGATCAAAGCAGGTTGGATCTCACTGAAGGAAGGACCTTAAACTCATTCCCTTGCTCTCTTGGCCTCATAATACTGCTTTAAGAAGCCACTGGGAATTTCATCTTTCTAATTTGTCTTTCTCAAGGAAACTTAAGGCATAGAAGACCATAGAGTGAGTTAGTAATAAAACAGGGACCCTTTTGTCTTAATTTAGTGCTTTTCTTTTTTCTTATTCTTTTTTTAGCTATAAGCTACCCTTGTAGGTGTTGCCTGTATCAAAGTTAACGGTCTGTGGTTATCAGTCTTAAGTGCCTGTGATTATTATTTAATGAAACCTATTTAAAACATATTTACTATTTCTTAGGTCCTTTTAAGTGTTCCCTACTCTAATGTGAAGTGAAACCATATAATTATATGGTTTTTTAAAATATATATTCCCATACTTCAGACTAAAAGAACATCTTGTGAATTCTTTGGAAAAAATTGACCTATTACCAGAAAAAAATTTTTGTTTTGTGATTTTCTTTTTAAGCTTTAAGTTGGTTTTCATTTAGGTAAAGCAGGAAGAATAAATAATATTTGCAGGAATGTTGTGGGGAAGAGCAGTCATTAATATGGAAAGATGGTATAAATGCCGAGTAGGGATAGAAGAATAATGTGTTAATCCTGAATAGCTTTGATTTTATTTTTTTGATCCTTAAATTTTTAAAAATTAGAGGTATTTAAAAATTTTAGATAGTTAAGCATTATCTCATATTGTTTTTATGACTTAAATTTTATATTCCTACTGAGTATTTATTTTGGTTAATTGTGCTCTTTGTTTTGAAATGCATAATTTAAGCCAAAAACTTATATCAAAGTAATGGGTGATGTGAAAGCTTATGATAATCTAGCATTGAGTTTGAATGTATTTTGCTTTTTGTATAATAATAGTTGCTGATGACTAGAACGGGCATTTAAAACTAGTCCCCAACCTTTTTTGGCATCAGGGACTGGTTTCATGGAAGACAGTTTTTCCATGGATGGGGCAGGATCGAGGGGAGTGATTTGGGGATGATTTAAGTGCATTACGTTTATTATGCTGCTGCTGATACGACAGGAAGCCGAGCTCAGGAAGTAATGTGAGCGATGGGGAGCAGCTATAAATACAGACGAAGCTTCGCTTGCTCACCTGCTGCTTATCTCCTACTGTGCAGCCCAGCTCCTAGCAGGCCACAGACTGATACCAGTCTGTGGCCCAGGGGTTGGGGACCCCCGATTCAAGAGGTAATGCTGTAGAGGTATGATAAAGTAAGGACTGTTTAGGTCTTAACTGATAATGCACATTATTTCAGTGTCAAAATATGTAAACTGCCTCTATTACTATTATTTCTTTAATTGTAGAGCTTATTGGTTTTAGTTTTGACCTTAATTTCTCAAAAGGATAGTGATTTTTTTGCTGTGAAATTTTTAGGTCCGTATAAATACTGGAAAAAATACCACCTTAAAATTCAGTGAAAAAAAAGAAGAAGCCAAGCGTAAGCGAAAGAACAGTTCTGGCAGTGGTCATTCTCCCCAAGAGCTGCCTATGATCAGGACCCCTGCTGACATTTACAGGTGAGTGGTATTCGTAGACAGCAGAGCAGTCTGCTCTTCCCTACTCCCTTTTTGCAACTGAGTATTTACAGGAAAAGGTTGCTCGTAACACAAAAGTCTCTCACTGGAAAGTGAGGTATTTTGATAAGAGCTCTGTGTTTTAAAGGCTCTCACAGGAGCTGCTGAGCCCCAACGCAGTTTCCCAGTTCAAAGCAAGTAGAATATTGCTTAGTTTTTTTGCATTTCCCCTCTTCACTAGTGCTTTTAAAACATTCCCAATCTGGTCAAAAATTGTATGTTAACTTTAGAAATGAAAGTTTGTGTTTCTGGTGTGCTGGGGCAGCACTTTGCTACCAAACCTTTGGCAGTGCTTAGTTAGCCATGTGGTTTACCTTTTCACAGAGTCTACGCATGCGCTTTCAATTTTTTGTTGTAATGTTTGCTGAGAAAGCCGTCATTTGAAAATATCTACTATTTTCATGACCCTTATTTGTAAAATAGTGAAAATTGCTAAATGACTTCAAAAATATATGTACATTTTGGACAAAACAATCAAGCTGTTGTCACCCAGAACATGCTTATAAATAAACTGCTGTATTTTATTGGGTCAAAAAATTATACTTTTAGAAATACTGGTAATATAAGGTGTCATTTGAGGCCACAAAATTATTGTGATAGTGAAAATTTTGGATATGTTTGAATAAAATATTTTAAGTTAATTTCTGGAAAAGACTTTAAAAAATCTTTATAAATTTATCCTGTTTTATGTTAACTGAAGAGTGTGTATATAATTTTTGTATTATAGGGTCTTTGTTGATATTGTGAATGGAGAATATGTCCCTCGTAAGTCAATCCTGAAGTCTCGAAGTAGAGAGAACAGTGTTTGCAGTGATACCAGTGAAAGCAGTGCTGCTGATTTTGATGATAGACGGGGAGTTTTGAGAAGCATTAGCTGTGAAGAGGCTACTTGTAGTGATGCTAGTGAGAGCGTTTTAGAAGAGGATCAACAAGAAAATCATCAAAAGAAACCTTTGCCTTTATCAGTAACACCTGAGGTTTGTGTATATCTTTAATTCTTCATTTCATAAAGTATCTTTGAGAGTTAAAAAGGTAGTGGTAGCTCCATTTCAAAGGGATATGCAACTTTAAATTTTCCCCATTTTACATAGTTATTTTGGGAGTTGAAAAGACTTAAAAACTTGTAGCTGCTGTATCTTCCAGGTATGGTCTATGAATGATTAATCTTATTGTCTTTATTTTATTTTGTATAGTTATTTATTGACATTAATTGACAGGGTAATGGCATTGTTTATTTTGTAGCTTCTTTGGTTTATACATATATTTAGTCTCAGAAGTCATAGAGCCTAATTAGTCATAGGCTTGTAATTTTTCTGGTAATTAATAATTTATAAAAGTCCTTAGCAGCTCCAGTATTCTTGCCTGGAGAATCCCGTGGGCTGAGGAGCCTGGTGGGCTACAGTCCATGGGGTCTCAAACAGTCGGACATGACTGAAGCGACTTAGCACAGCACACAGTCCTTAGCAAAAACAATATAGGTATTAAAATAAAATAGTTTGAAATTTTTTGGTAACAGAGTATTACCACTCTTGAAGTTCTATTTCTGTGAAATAGGAATTTTAATGTATCTTAATTAGAATATGTATTTCATTTTTGGTTAGAAAATTGTTTGTTTTTGGCCATGCTGTGCGGCTTGTGGGATCTTAGTTCTCCAAACCAGGGATCCAAGCCATGTCCCCTGCAGTTGGAAGCATGGAGTCTTAACCACTGCACCAATAGAGAAGTCTCATGGCTAGAAAATAATTTAGCAGCTTTTTAAAAATAAATTCCACTAGACCAGACTTATAGCCAATGTTATAAAATTAAAATAGTTCAAGTAGCAGATTATGTGCGTGGCTGTGTGCACACTCAGTCCCTCAGTGGTGTCTTGACTCTTTGCAACCCTGTGAACTGAAGCCCGCCAGGCTCCTCTGTCCATGGGATTTTACTGGCAAGAAAACTGGAGTGGGTTGCCATTTCCTCCTCTAGCAGATCTTCCCGACCCAAGGGACGAACCTGCGTCTCCTGCATGGCAGGCGGATTCTTTACCGCTGAGGCACTGGGGAGGCCCAACAGATTATACTTTTCTCTTTTAAATGCTTTGGTAGAGTTAAAGAAGAAAATGAGAACGTATGACAGATAATTATCTATAGTTCTTCTATATTTTGGCTTGTGCCGGTGAAATTTTTAACTCTTGGAAGTTATGGAACCATTTTATAGTCTAGTGAGAGCTGTAGATCCTCTTCTCAGAAAAATGAGTGCACACATACACTGTTACCCACCACGTTACACACAGTTTTGTGTATGGGGAAAAGAAGGATACTGGGAGATATCAAAATAAGAATGTTATGGTTTCCATTATTCCCACACTTGATTTTTTTTTTATTCTTGTGTTTAGTGGGTATTTCCGATTTTAATTTAAAAAGTATTTGGGAAGACTGGGGAACTCAGGCCCTTATCAAACTGATATACCCATTTGAGTATATGACAAATACATATTAAAATATTTATCTTTGTATATGAGTAAACATACATAAAACTTCTGTTGCTTGTGCTAAATGTCCCTAGATGGTACAAATGATACTAAATAGTAATTGTTAATGGAGAGATCATTAGTATTTAGGTACAGTTTGTATGATTAGAATATTCTCCTTCCCTTCTCCCAACATAATTATCTCATTTAACCTGGAGAGTATCTTACTTAATAGTCTTCCATACTGTTAGAAAAATAAGTGATAGACTTTTGCTGTTTTTAAGTATCTGAAAATTAGGTTTTAGTAAGGAGTTAATGTATCATGATATAGTTAGAATTCAAGTCTAGAGTTTATTTTCATTTCATCCTATTTAATAGCTTTGCATTTTGTATTGAACTGTTACAGTTAGCATCTAGATGCTATAAATTTTTTAATGTCAAAATAAATAGTTCATGATTATGGAAAGTACTTTGAAAGATATTTTTCCATATCTTTAAATGTTAAAATATTCTTTTTCAAGAGCATTTTTTGTATAATAAGAAGGCTCTGTACTCATCATGATAAAATAGAGTTTTTAGAAAAGTAGACTTTGAATTCTCTTTAAAAAGCTGTACTCCACCCAGGGTCTCTCAGTAGTGTGGGAAGGTCAGGGCATTCTTGGTTCTCCTTTGGTGGGGCAAGCTGGAGCAGATTGGCTTTTTAAACTACTCAAGTGATACATTGTCTTAACTGATTTGTTCACTTGGTAGACAAAGGAGAGTAAAAAATACTTGACAGTTTGCGTGTCAAATGTGTGTCAAATTTAAGTTTGTACATAATGAGTTTTTAGAAGATGAAAGTAAGGAGATTCCAAATACTAGAAATGTTTAAAAAAAATCATAGCAACTTGATTTTGATGGATCTCTTCTTAGAAATATATAGAAAAGACCTATTTTTGGTTTTATTTCCATCATTTTGTACACAGTATATACATTTATACATACATTTTGTATACATTATATATACACTACAGTAGAGAAAAAGAAAAAAATGTCCAGCAAATAGGGGTTGAAATAAAAGAATAATTTTTGTGGTGTCTTGATTTCTGTTATTTATTGCATTAAAATTTGAGATAGACAATTATTTCCACTAGCACCAGCACTTTTAATTTTCTGTTTCCACTGACCTCAAATAAAATTGAGGCAAGATGCAATAAAATAATCAAATAATTGCATAAATGGACACCACCTAAGAGATGTCAGTGCTGCTGAAACTAGGCTGTAGGCTTGCAGGCAGCATGGCCACCATAGGAGAGCTCATTCATCAGTTGATGTTTGGCACTGTAATAGAATTTTTAATTTTAATACATTATTTTTCACAGCATGATCTGGATATAAATGGAATGAATATATGAAAGTTGAGAACCTTTTATTTACCCATTTTTTGAAAATCCCACATGAACATGTTTTTTACATTTTGTTTTCTTAACATGTGTACTATTAAACATCTACTTATATTTGGTGGTGTAATTAAGATACTTTTTAATGGTACTTGATTTCTATGAGCAATTTGTATTTTGATGTTGTAGTTTTGTGTATCAGAAAATCTAATGAAAAGAAATGTCTGATTGGCAATGCAATGCAGGATAAAGATTTTGTAGCCATCTTATTTGTGTTTTGTTCGCATAATCTGATTTTGTTGTCTTTTAGGCTTTTTCTGGAACTGTAATAGAAAAAGAGTTTTTGTCACCCTCCTTAACACCACACCCAGCCATGGCTCATCCTGTGCTGCCCACCATTCCAGAACGAAAAGAAGTTCTGTCAGAAGTATCAGAAGGAACTACAAAGAGGGTTTCAAAGTTCAAAGCTGCCAGACTGCAGCAGAAAAACTAGGGCTGCCTAGGAAGTGGGAGTTCACCTCCTAAAACCTAGTTTTGCAAGTGTTTAGAAAATGTATAGCAAAATATGTTACATGTAATTTGAAGTAAGTCATCCTGAGTAAATTTGGCACCAAGTTCTCTTACTCTTATCAGTGGTATTAAAAAGAAATCAAAGTAAATATTTAAATACTTTTAATTTTCAGCTTGTTTTGTTAATTCTCTGAATACCGTCAACACTCATTGTTTAGGTTTGCTGTGTCATACAGTAGCAGCATTTTGAATTATTTTTCAAAGAATGCTGTTCATATGTGTTGTTTTTGTGTTTCAAACTAAATACTGGCAGTTTTGTTCCAGCTGTGATATTGTGCACACCATATGGACCATTTTAAGGAAACTTTTAAAATTTCAAATAGATTCAACAATTATATTACTTGCTTTACCTTTTTAAAGGCACTTTAAAAAAAAAAAAATCTACTTCTTGTAGGTTTTGCAGCTAGGTGGCTATTTAAAAAATCTGTCCCTGTTTGACTGACTGTTATTCTATAATCTCTATGGTAGAAAGCTCCATGTACCCAACAGAAAGTTTCTTTTGTTGAAAGAACGGTATTTTGTAAAACATTTTTTTTTAAGTAAAAATTTTATGAAACTTTGTCTCTAAAATGTTGTGAACTTTATGATTCAGAATTCAATATAGAAGTGTCTTTCATGTATATGCTACATGCACCATACAGTGGATCCTTGAATTCTTATGATTCCCTAGGCAATTCTCCCCTAGTGTGTGCAGTTTTAAATGGCATTTTATTTTGGGAGAGAAGGAAAAGTTGTCTAGATGATAGAAATACATAAGTAAATTTTCTTAAATCAGAAATTTTATGTTTTAATCTTCTGAACATTTTTGTTCTTTAAGGTTACTTTCCTACTAGTAAATAATTGAATAACATATTTACTTTTGGCAGAACTCCTTAAAGAGAAATTTATTGTAACATTGAAAATTACACTTGCAAGTGTTAATCATTAGTTTGATGCATGCTAAAATGTAGCTTTTAAAAAGCATTCTGCATTAGTACTAAAATAGCCATCAATGCCAGTCCACCCTCTATTCATGGCTAAATATTTAAAGGTTATTTATAGCTTCTTTAATGAATTCTTGCTTAAACAAAGTGAAATTATGTCCTAGAAAAGTAGAAGCTATTTGTAACTAGAGCAGCACAACTGTAAAAATTTTATGAATATGTATCTTAGTAATAAGGGGATGAGCCTGAATCCCCACAAGTTAATGGATAATTCAGAACAGAGAACTGATTTTAAAAGATTGCCTAAAAATGTAGATTTTTTTCTTCAGTAAATTTTGGTCAATTGTATATATTTTTAGTTGAAAACTTTTTCTCTCAGCCCCCCCCCAACCCCCCACAAAAAAGGAAAATAACCAAGAGTATAATCCCATGCACACAAAAGAGCCCACAGTTCCAACTGCTTGTCAGGTGAGCCTTTCTCTGATTTTCCCCCAGAAACAGACTTCATTACGGGGTTACTGTGGTGTTCTTTACAGACATGTAATTTTAAGAGTACTGTCATTAAATAATTTTTCATGTTTTTCAACTTCATCTTGAGCCTGTTGTTGTTTATGTAGTTTATATTTCTTCTTGCAAGTAGATGTTTTCCATCATGGAACAAAATGGTAGTAGAAACAAAGAAGTGTTAGATTTTCTGCTGAAGACCAAATGAAGGAGTGTTGCCCCATTTCATAGCTTCAGTCTTAAAACAGAGTTTCAAATTGTAAGTTAACCATATACCTTTATTTTTTATGGTTAAATTCAGTATTCAATATGATAAAATGAAATTGTCTTAAGTGTTCTCTTTTAAATCATTGTAAAATACAACAGACTGAATTTTTTTTTAACTTTTAATTTTGAACTAATTTTAGATGTACGGAAAAATTGGCCAAAAATAGTAGATTTCCCATATATCCCCTCACCTAGCTTCTCCTAAAGTCATTTCATCTTGTATGGCCAAAATACAATTATTAAAACCAAGAAATTCACTTTAGTACAATACTATTAACTAATTTGCAGATCTTATTTGAATTTCACCCACTTTGCATTCAGCATTATTACTGTGATATTTGCCTAATAGTGGTTTTCTGTTTTGCCCATTCTTTCAACATTTATTTCTTTGAATTCTTTTGTGATGAAAATCTCATTCACCTCCCTGACCCCTGTTCCATTTATTAATTCATTTCTTTATATCAGTATGGACTTGGATATTCTGTTCTATGAGTCAAAATCCAATTATCATTATTTTGTTGGCTCAAATTTTCTACCTTTGACCTTTGGGAACTCCTTTGAGTTGACTCCTGAATTCTTTGAACAAGTCTCCATCTCTTTTTGAACACTCTTTCTGACATCACATAATGTTATAGGCGTATCTTGCATTTTTCCTGCCCCAGTCTGGGAACTGGAGAAGGCAATGGCACCCCACTCCAGTACTCTTGCCTGGAAAATCCCCTGGACAGAGGAGCCTGGTAGGCTACAGTCTATGGGGTGACTGAGCGACTTCATTTTCACTTTTCACTTTCACGCATTGGAGAAGGAAATGGCAACCCACTCCAGTGTTCTTACCTGGAGAATCCCAGGGATGGGGGAACCTGGTGGGCTGCCATCTCTGGGGTCGCACAGAGTCGGACACGACTGAAGTGACTTGGCAGCAGCAGCCTTGGAACAATAACCACTTCTCCAAAGAGCCCTTGATCCTTTTGTTGGACAATGGTGTTTAAAAATCAACATCTTCTCATGTAGGTGTGTATATTACCATTTTGATATTGTTGTTTCTAGGCTCTTTTAACAGGTGTAGAAAGTTTTGTTATTAACTAATGTACATATATATATTTATGTGTTTGTCTGCTTACGTACATTAAAAAATGTAAGTTTATACAGATACTTCCTGACTTTAATATAAGAACACAAGGTTCATTTTAGTTTTTTTTTTTTAAGTTATGACTTCTTTCTTCAATAGTGAGAAATCTAGCTTTTATTATATATAATGTGTTTACTTATTTTTAAAATATCTAATACAGTTTCCCCTTGAACAGCTCTGAGGTTGGGGCACTGACTCTCCCCACAGTCAAAAATTGGCATATAACTTTACAGCTGTCTGTAGTACTGTGGTACATATCTCCTGAAGAGAAAGAACCCAGCATGTAAGTGAACAGGCACAGTTCACACCCATGTTGTTCAAAGGTCAGCTGTTGACACATACAAGTAGTTTCAGACTGTTGACCCTAATCCCCAGGAGAAAAACATTTATTAAATATATTTCATTATTTATGTTCAGTTCTTTTTTAAGTATCAGTCAAGAAACTTTTCTGAGGTTCTTTTTCTGTCTCCTTCCCTTTATTGTGATCTTTTATGTATAAAGGAGTTAGGATCATTTGTTAGTGTTTGTGTTCCAGTTTGAATTCTCCTCGTATTGTGGTTGGGTTTAATGGTTTATTTGGGGATGAAGGGTATACGAAACATTAATGTGGTTCTAAGAGTCACAGCTATATAAAAAGATAAATACAGAGAAGATAAAACATTCCACTCTTTGTGCCCCATTCTTTTTTTAATTGATAACAAGAGCTGTAACACTTTTTTGTGTATAGATATAACAGTTTATTCAGCCACTTTGCTGTCTATAGGCATTTAGATTTCTGATATTTTGCAATTGCAAATGATGCAATGAATAACTTTGTTGTATATATATATTTTTGTATCATTGGAAGTATCTTCTGGGTCGATTTCTAGAAGTAGGATTAATGATCTATCTTTGCAGTATGATTTCTTTTAAACATGGTAAAAGTATGTACAGCAAAGTATTTGTGTTCTCTTGTCAAGGGGTTTTAACAAATTTGCCTGCATATCTACATTTTATTGGTGATTCTTTAATATTAACTTCAGGACACTCTAATGTCCTAAAGGGACTTTAAGGGTTTATAGTGATTGTGCTCATTTTGCTATATTTTTATTTTGGGGTGGTAAGGGAATTGGTCAAGCAAATGATTTATAAGACCTTTCTATAATTTGGAATATTCCTAGTTTTATAAGATACAGACACCTCATTATATTTGTTTTTCTCCTTCATAAGAAACAGCTAATCAAGGATGCTAGTAGTTTCTGTGTATCTTTTCCGTGCGTGGTATATAGGCTTTCAGTTAAATGCCTGTTAAATGAATTTCTTAACTACAATAAATATTTATGGTTTTTTGTTTAATCCATTGGTCAATATTGTGAAGTTTTTACATTTTACAGTGCTTTATCAGTTATTTTGATTTCATTTTAAAGGAACATTGTTTAGGATATGAGGAAGTTTTTGCAGTTCCTTTAAATAACTGATGAATCATAAAGAATCAAGTAATTTTGATCATTTACTCTGTGTCAAGCATGTTCTGTGTACTTTATGTGAATTATTTCATTTAAAACTCACAGCAGCTGAGTGAGGTAGGTACTATTTTTCAGTCCTTTTCCTCCCACTCCTCTCCCCCATTTTAGAGATGAGGAAACTAATTCAGAGAGATTGAACAACACTTTTAAGCCACAGAACTACTAAGTAATGGAATTGGGGTTTAAAACCCAGGTAGCCTTGCTCCAGAATCATCAGGTTTTCCTGTTTTTAAAAAATTTAAATTTTTTTCCCTCCAAATAAGAGTGCATAGCTAGTAAGGAAGTGTGTGCCCTGTATATCTGTATAATCTTGTTTATTCATAATGAGGCCACCTTTTAAAAACTATGAGTTGGAAAACTTTGTTTCTTAAACTTTAAACATAAAGAGAATTCATTTTGACTTTTTGGAATGGAGGTGAAGTTTCAGTGATTTGGCTGTATGTATAAAAGGAGTGTGCGATGGAGAAAAGTAAAACAAAAGAATCAGTTTAACAATATTTCATTGAAAAATTCATTCTTATGTGAATGGGGGCAGCAGAGGGTGAGATGGTTAGATAGCATCACTGACTCAATGGACATGAATTTGAGCAAGCTC